TTTCGGTAGATTTTTAAAACTTCTTCTAAAAATAAATATTGCCGCGAGACTCAGCATGGTCGATTATCCATAGTCCATCCGTCTTTAAGGCTACCAATTTCATCGACTGTCAGTCCTGCGACTCGTCGGAAATCCGATACAACGTCCGAAACGCCGGAAAGCAAGGTCTCACTTCACTCCCATTTGAAGAGAAACTCCGGATTATCAGCCCATGAAAAAAAGCAATACAATCCTATTGAACGAAAATTCTAAGATTCGGTAAGATTTTTCTGATATCTTAGACAAATGTAAGCGAAATCTTACTAAGACTATTTTAAGACTGGATAAGAATGTATTAGGATCTTAATAGTAAGAACGATAACGTTTTTAAATAATACTCATCCGAGATTCACTGAAAATTTTACAAGTTTTAATCTGCATTATCCAAAACAGCAGTTGAACAGTGTTGAAGAATGAAGAGAAATTTCATATTTTCAGGTGTCCAACTATGGACCTTGACCTGCATGTACACTCTCTAAAAAGTTATTGAACACTTTCGAGAGAGCAAGTACTAGCAGAGTCTGGCAGAAAATAACCGTATAATCACTCATATTTTCGGTCACTTATACAGATGAATGAGAGTAAAACAAAAGGGTGAATGAAAGCAGAGTCATTAAATCTTAGATTATCTCATCAAAATCTTATAGGATAAGATCTTATAAGATCTTAGTAAGATAATTTTAAGAAGTGTCTAAGGTTTTTACTAGGGATGACACAGTGGGCATTCAGGTGGAAATTTAGAAATAAACCGTGAGCTTGCTTTTTCGTAATTTAAATAGTGTTTCATATACTTCGAGTGACGGCCGATTTAATGGTGAAAGAATTTTTATTCTACGACTTTTCCTTCTATAGACGATTTGCAACGCAAACAACACCATGTAAATGAGCTATTTTTTCGGAAAATTTCGATCTTTATTGAAGCATAATAAATTAGAGTATTAGCGATGATTTTTGTTGAAATCATAATTAAGTGTACGATTAATCGGCTGATTAATTACGGGTAATTGGAGATATTCTCCTGATTTTCACTGCATGAGTTGTCATTAAATAGACACCTACTTAGAGAGGTTTTAATGCACTTTCGTAAACGTAGAAACGCTGGTTGTTTTCGATCTCCAGGACTTTAACCGGTAAAATATATTGGGTGGCATCAAAATAATTGACCACGCTCCGAAGTTCTATGATACGCGTTGAAAAGAGCTCCGAAATGCGGAACGTAATAATGGAGATTGGTTATCACTGTCTCAGAAGAGTATATGAAAGGAAAACGTACGGCATAAAAAATTACAAAATATGAGCTGATTTACCATTTTAACCAACATGAGACCTGTTCAGAAAGAATATACATTAGCTTTGTATGCGTATCTAAGTTGAGTAATATAAATATTGGCTTGTATTTCAAGGATAAAGTCAATGTGTTATATCATATCATTTTGATTTAATTGAAAAATAAAGTGAAACTGTGTTTATAGAGATTGCCTGTATTTCATCACAAAGTAACGAGAATAAATAAATTTAGAAAAATACCTCATAATAAAGTTAACTTATAAGTCGTCTGGGATATAACAAGAAAAAAATATTAGTTAGGTCATTATATGAATAATATCGGAGATTTTCGCCACTTGAATGCGTGTATCGTAGCTGCAGTATCATTTATATCGACGCAAATGAAGGCAAATCACTTTTAACATAACCGACACGCACCCGCTTAATCAATTGTTCATGAAGCGCTGTTAAACGTAAATAACATTCACAAATCCTAAATATACGTGAGGTAGTGTGATACTCACTTTGTAAGTATAACTTATCAACTTCATCGTTGTCAACCTCTTTAGCGGGATCGGCACGCCCTCTTATTCAATGATATTAAAATGCTAAATTAGGAAATAAACAGAAAAGAATTGCAACTTACGCGATCCATGGTGGAATTGGTCATCATCAATACCAACATTGTGAGGAGGAAGAATAAAAGTCCCTTCGCCGTAGTCATGTTTATTTCTCGAATACGAAGAAAAGTATACAGATGTAAGTTATAATTAGTTTTTTAACACAATCTCTATCCCTTTTACAAGTTGAATGGGGATTTTAACGAAGGATGTCTGAGATAAAGGTTATGTAGATTCGGTTTCATAAAACATTTTGTTCTGCTACGCAGGCATTACAGAATTCGCATAAATATCTGGCTACCTAGTAATAGAGGTAAAAGTTTTAAAGAAATGTGTTGTTAGCCGTAAAACGTGGAGTATGTACGGATTCTGGGAGTCTCGTGAGCTCATATTCTCTTGTCGTGGGCACTTGAAGTGTTTCTGAAGCCTCTTCAGTCTTTTGTCGTACAAAATATGATATTATGGAGATATTCAATCCGATGAAGGAAATAATATCCCAGCGAAGGTTTTCATTCAACTAAAAACTATTTACTGGTATGAGAAACTGTTTTCAGAAGAAAGATCTATTTAGAAACCGAAACGAAATTTTGAAAACGAGCCTTGTTTTCAATTTAGAAATTGTTTTAGGTCTCTTGGGATTTTTGGAGGATCTCGTAAAAACCTTTTAGCCTTGCAAAAAATCCAATAGTGCTCAGTGTATCTCTTGTTTATATGTAAAAGATGGTGCAAGGATAAGTTTTTCTTTACTTGAGTTATTAAACATCCACTGGTATCACATTAAGCTTACTTGATTACGTGCTAGATTGTTCCCTGCCTTTGTAGTGTCATAAATAATATTACTTTTAATTATATTTGATACACATTATCGATTCGCATGAAGGATATATTTTTTCAAGTCATTGTTGCGTGTCGGGTCGAGTCAGTCATTTACATGTTTTTTTTTATGCAATACAAAATCTCTTTTCAGAACGTCTCGTGGCTTATTCACGTTGGACAACCAAACTGAAGGACAAATTAGGACCTAAATTCAATAGTTTTGGGTGGATGAATCGATATTTCCCTGACTGTAAAGGAAAGGGTCGTATCGAGTTAAAATGCCTGTATGTTTGTATATTTGTCGGCAGACTAGATACTAGCGACGCACAAATCATTTCAACTTGATTGGATGAAAATGACATGGGGTGGGTATTCGACTATGGGGAATCAAAAAATGACTATGAGAGACCTCTAGGGTCGATTATATTTGTCGAAAAGTTAGTCTCAACTTCATTGGATGGAAATAATATGGAGTTGGTATTCTCCCATTCCATTGATTTTAGTCTAGGGTCTCACAAAATGATTGTTGTCTGTGTATCTGTGTGTGTGCGTAAAATATGGAAAAATGACTGTTAGATACTCCATAAATAAGCTAATCACAAGAGAAAAAAAACACAAAATTCTTTTTTAACCACGAGAGAGAAAATATTCAGAGAGATGGCCCAATTATCAAACCCCTTGGGATCTTCAAAGGGTGTACAGAAAACGTTTTACCTCGATATTAGATGGTGCGATATGAGAGAAGTTCACAATATTCCTCACGTACTCTGGTTGCGAACGCCCGAAGGAAGGTGTACGCATTGTTGTCAATTTTGAAATAGTTTTAGACCTGGAATTTCTGGAGGATCTCGTGAAAACCTTTTAGCTTTGCATTATATTAGGAAGCTTACACATCAAATCAGAGAAAAATTCACGGCTTATTTTAGATCGTTCTCCATCCGCCTAGCCATGCTGATAAATTATAGGAAAGGTTTTGATTGTCGATAGCAGTAGAATAGGCAGTTAGGTTAATTGTCTGAGTCATCCATGTGTTATTCCATGTCTGACCGCCGAAAAAGTAGCAGTTCCCACGATTGCTAACGAAGTAAAACAAAGCGATAGGTCAAAAATGGTTAAATTCGTTTCATACCTTGGTCCGGGAGATGTCCAGTTCTGATCTGCCCATTGCAAATTTCCATATTGAACCTGTGTTATTGTACCGTTGTAAGTCCAGAATGACGGATGCGTCGTACCACCTCCAGTTTCACATGGACCCGTTTCACCATCGCCGTTTATTATTAAATTGACACCATAGGCTGCAAATGAGAAATTAACACCATGTTGACATCTCTTTTCTTAACTAGATGATCCATTCAACTGTCACCCTTCGATTGATCTGAACCGAGACATGAAAGTTTAACAGATCTTCAGAAGCCCCTTGAGACACTGCTTAACAAAATGAAAATTCACACGCATATTTGACATTTCATGCAAAATAGCCATTCATCATTTTTTTTAGTTTACGAGGGAACATTCCCAGATGTCAAACTCCGTTTTCAATGATATTATGTCAGTTGGTAGAGGAAAGTGTCCTAGGTAAAACTCTAGAAGGATTTGGCCCTATAGTACCTCTTTCAAGACAGTAGAGTCTCAAGCTCTATATCCCGTTTTGAAAAACATATATCCCAATCGGGATATAAATTCAATTTTTTAAACAAAATTCATTAGTAAAAACATGATAATGTTAGCGGAAAGTTTAGACCATACCACCGAAAAGAGCGTAAAAAACTGTATCAGATTCTTTTTCCTGGAAACCAAGTCTTTCTTCCACTCAGCAACCTTTTTTTAGATATTTCTTAAGGTTCATATTCTATATCCTGATCAGGATATTTTACTTCTTTTACTAGCTATATTATTTTCTCTTACGCTGGACATGCATAAGCAGCGACATGAAGTAAAATATTCAGGTTAAGTCAGTCTCGTCAATCCGTATTGGTCGACTGAGTATCAACCTTTGTCTAGAAAAAAAATGTTTTCTTTTCGGATGAGTACAGTTTTTTAAAAGTTAAATTTTTCCAATGCCGAGCGAACGTCAACATCATCTTAGCGTTTGTAGCAATGCTTAGCACAGTTTGTGGAATGGAAATGCGGAATTCACGCTTTTAAAAATTCATAGTGGCAAAATTAAAGCAGATGTTCTGAAATTTCTGAAAAGACCCTCTCTTCGTTGATCTTTGTCACATAAAATTCAACAAAACTCATCTTTTTAATCAATGTCTCACGTCATTTGTATTTACTTTGAGTTCGCTTAACTCGATCTTTTTTGAATGTAGCCTTTAAAGGACCTGTATGATGGTGTTTATTTGATGATATGAAGTTTTTTAAGGATAATAATGATAATTATCTTTTTCCTTATTATTATCAAATAATAAGAAAAGCTGCATTGAATAAACTTTTACTATCTGTACGAGTGTTTCGATGTTATACTGCGCTCAATAGATAGCATGTGTATAGAGCACTGATGACTCATGCAGTCATTTACAGATTTCTTTCCAGAGTAGAAACTTTTCGGCAAACCAGTTCATTGGATGAAAGTTTTAAATTCAAATAAGAAATAAACGAGATTTTATTTTCGTTTTTTTATGACCTGTTAGCATTACAGAGATATTCACTGTTCTTAGTTTAGAAGACTACCCACTAGGTCGTCTAAAACAGATGAGAATTACTTTCTTATGAAACTCTTATGACTTTCTTATAAAGCCACAATGTTACCTCCTGTCTGCGCCGCTGTACTGATGATTGGAGCAGGAAAGACATTGGAAAATGCACCCATTGTACATGCAGCTGTAGCATGTGCCTGTGCAGGCACGCTTGTTGATGGTACGCTTGTTGATGGCACGCTTGTTGATGGCATTGCTTAAAACAGAAAATTCTCACTTAGGTTTGTCAAGAACAACTACCCTAGACTAATTGTTTTTTTGAATTCTGGTAGGATTCTCACATCAAATTCGTATATGCGGTTCGGCCACAATTGTGGTAAGACTTACAAGAACTTGACGACTTGTCTAAGAATTTGACTCCTCCCTGATTAAGTTTTTGAAACATAATCTGTTCTTTCACACTGTAATGGTGGAAATTATTGATAGAAAATGCTCGGCGATTTTCAAAAAGTCCATATATAAATTCGTTGAGGATTTTGTAGATTCTAGAAAATCGAATTTACGAGAAACTTGGAAATTCGACCGCGATTTTCCAGGATCCTGGAAAGTCGATCGATTTTCTGTAAATAATTTCCAAGATTCGATTCCATTATTTTCCTTTAAGTACCAGTTTAATGCCAGAAACGACAGAGAGCTCTACTTGAACATAAGAGTTGAGTAAATAAAGATTTCCAAAATCTCTTGATAGTGTTACGTTGCGGAGAAGGGACTTTTACAACGAGCTACGATTTTGTGCTAGTGCTTGTTCGTTAGTATGCTACTACCCGTTCCAAAATACAAGAGCATCGATTGCTTTGGAATAACTTATGACAGAAATGAGACAGAGACTTACGGTTTCCAGTATTCGATAGCCAAGACCTGTATGCATCTTTTCACAAGCAAAAACGATTTTCGAGAATAGTTCAAAGACTGAATTTTGAGAGGATCTTTGGAAAACCATGTCGTAGTTCTCAGAACGGACATAGAAATATGTTGATTTTTTAGATGGATTTATAGTCTAAACTGTACTCTACAAAACTGGATCTAAGCGACATCTTCAAAACCCATGGTTGGACCGGGTCAGACTTTTCTGCGAAGCACTAAGACTGCCCTTCTGTTATGGTTGGAATCAGTAAAAATGATTGCAAACATAGGTTTTCGACTATGATGAATCTCGTGGCAATGTTTATTTTGTTGTCCAAATTAAAGAACCTTCAAAAGACGAATTTTTCAAGAAATTCAATTTTTCCATTGCGACGATAGTAAAATAAAAACTTTCTAGTACGTTCATTTCTCAACCAAAGTGCTTCAGATTTTCAAAACCCACTTAGTATCCTCTGTTGTACAGTTTAGGAACGTTGGAATCATTTCTCATGTGGAGACTTTACCTAAAGGTCTTCAAAGGTTTTCTGAAAAACCTGTAAAGATAGGCTTTGTTTTTTGTAGTTCTGATCGTGATATCCGATAGAACGCCTTCCCTTATGCTCACTCTTCAAGTTCCATGCACTTTGGTCGCGAAAGTAAGGTGTTAGAA